ACCGTTTTTAACGTTTAAAACGTACACTTAATTGTTTCTAAAATGTTTTTAGTTTCCATATTTTTTCATGCTTTTAGTAAAAACTGTCAAGGATGTACCAGGAAAGGAAAGTTCGTATAAATTGGATGTAGAAACTATACAAGAGCATTGTGGACATAAAAGAGTTATGCTGAAATCTCTTAAAACATAATTCAACTCGTTAAATATTTAATGTAACAAACGATAGTTTTAAAATTTATCCGTTGTGTGTTTGATTTTTAACGAAAATTAGTAAAGGAGTTGAAACTTTTTGCTTCTAGTGTATATACACATATAAATATGTATGCAAAAATGTATGCAGAAATGTATATATATATGTGTACGAGAAGACAAGCATTAGAATATGAATAGAACGTTTGACCCAATCAAGAGACAAATGTGTGAATGAACGTGACACAAATTTCCTTGATTAATAAAAGTACATATTATAATCGATAATTTTTTTTTTATTTCTTATAGATCTACGAGAACACAATTTTATCGAATATTTGATTTATAAGATTTTCCAATAAGTTTATGCGATATTTTTTTTCTAAATAAATAAACGAAATCGCATTGAATTATTGAAAAACCTAATAATATTTCGATAAATCGAAAATTTTAGTATTTAATATAGATTACAGATAAGAAGATAATTTTATTGTTTTAATAAAAGGTTTCTTTTTATTTTTTCTTAAATTATCTATTTACATTGAAACAAAGGGAGAGAAAGAGAGAGTGTGTATCCGTAAAAGATTCCAAGGAAGTTGCATTAAGGTCGAGGGTCGTTAAAAGAACCATTAGCTGACTAAAAAAGGATTGCAATAACGTCCGAATGATTAGAATCTATTCTATTTCGTATGATTAAGGATATCTTTGTTTTTTTCTTATTTTTTTCACTTGAGAACAATTATTATAAAATTTTGTTATCTATCTTTGACGAGAATTATTTGATTAAAAAATGTTTTGTTTTAAATATCGAAAGAGAGGGAGAGATAGAGAGAAAGAGAGAGATAGGAAAATAATAATATCGTACTGCGTAAAATGACTTGAGAGTAGATGCAATAATCTAACGTAAATATCTAATTGTAAGTAATACATAATATTCTTCTCTACGTACAATATATAGATATATATGGGTAAGCGGTGGTTAAAGCCAATATGGTGACGCAATTATATTTGATCATTCTATAGATATTACCTTTTCTACGAAGAGAAAAAGAGAAAGAGAGAAGATAATACTTAAAGGATTGCATCAGTGGCCATCGTTGAAGTATTATACGTTCAGGTATTATAGGTATACATATACCTTGCGCGTACTTATAACCTTTTCGTGTAAGCGAGTTTTAAACGGATGGTACAATCTTTATATTTCTTTTTTTTTTGTATATATATACTTTTTCTTTTTCCCTTTAATAATAATAATACACCGATAAATTCAATGATTTTCATGAATTTCGTATTCCTCAAGGACCATCACATATTTTTAATTCAGGAATATCAAGGACATTTATTGACTTTCCTTTTCCTTTATTTTTATTTTTTTTTTTTTTTATTTATGACAAATAAATACATTATTTTCTGGTTAGAAAATTAATATTAAAATTGCATATTTTATCTCTTTCGTTAAATGGGATTTAAATTAAAATGTTCGTACACGCGAGTGACAAACACCTTGAATAATTATTATTTTATTTTTTTTTTTTTTGAATACATATACCTGTATGTATATACATACGTTGAAATGGTAAAGAGAGTCATACCAAATCTTCTTCTTCTTTTTATTTTATTTTAAAGATTGTAAGCAATCAAAAGGAAAGAAAGTAGTCAACGAACGTAAAATCCATCGATCATAATCGAAAAAGACGAGTAAAATTTTAATATTCGTGAGGATCGTCTAAAGAAAACGATCAGAAAAATTTTCAGATTTTGTTTGAGAACGTTCACGTCGGTGAACTCTTTGCAAAAGATGACCTGCATTCGTATGTACATACGCGAGGAACTTTGGTATTCCATATGGCGAACCTTATAAGCAGTGAATTCAGATCTCGCGAAGGTCTGACTTGGTGTCCGTGCATTAATCTTACCAACGAGAAATCTCTTACGGCATAACGGATGCACGATAGTGAGTCAAGAACATCTCACGGTTCCAAATAAAGACTTCCACGTGGTTATTTTTTTTTTTTATTTCGATGGATCCAACAATCTACGAAAATATATATATTTCCATTAATATTACAAATCTGACGTATCGAATCAGTTAATAAAAATTGTTCGAATATTTAATTAATATTTAAATTTATAATAATAGCACTAGTATTTTTTTTTATTGACAACATTTTTTGCGTATTTTATATCTGAAACATTGATTGATCTCATATCGATAAAATTTATTCGATAATTTTATCGTTAATGAATTTATCACTTTTAATTAATAGTATTGATTCCAAAAAAAATTCGAGAAAAAGTTTAAGAGATATAAAGTTAGTGATGTATGATCGGTCACGTAGTACACGCGCCGATTAGGTTAACTAATTTCTTCTAACATATCTCAACTAGCTTGTGCACTATGATTCAGCAAACATCCAAACTCGTGGAGTAATTCGTTATGATTCCTTAACAGTTAGGAGAGTAAATCTACGTGGTAAGTTCGTTAGATTAGCATTACTACGAGACACAGTTGAGTATGTTACCTTGTTAGGTACTTTCACATGTGATATTTATTCGCACATCCTTTGTGTACATTTGCTCGTATTACGTAAATCAGCTAATTAAAAGACCAAACATATTCGAGCTAACTTTACTAAATGTACTTTGTTTTAAAGGGTTAATTAGATTGCATTTGTATCCCCCCCTCTCATGATGAATAAATTTTTTGACATTTATTTATCTTTTGGATTTGTTTGTTTGTTTGTTTTTTGTTTACGTCTTTGAGTATCATCTCGTATACTCGGATCCCATTCAAAGCATTTGAAATAATGTATGTTTTAATATTATTTACAATATATCAAGACAGCAGGAGATATTTTATTCCATGCCAAATGTCATTGTGGAAAGAAAATTTTTTTCAATCTTATCGATGACGCACGTGTTCGTGAATCACACAGGATAACTTTTGCATTTCTAACTTCGAGAGTAACTGGCATTCCTTTCGAGAATGTTATTTATTATCATACGAAGTACTTATTTGATATTTTTCTTTTTTTTTTTTTTTCATTCAGATAATAACGAGTTAAAATTAAGTCTCGTTTAAGAAATTATTATCACCGATTATTGTACTGTTTCTATTATGTTTTATCGTTAAAAATCGTTAAATACTACGAATACCTAATAAACATTTAAATGATTATAATCGTAACGAATTAATAAGGAAATCAATGCTTACTTTTTATCACTTTGATATTTATGGATATAATAATAAAAAAAAGAAAATATAGACAGATAAAGAGAGAAAAACAAATGTGAAAAATGCCATAGATTAACATGAAACACTTGCAGATATTTTAAAAAACACCTTATTTATCTTGAGATAGATAAAAAAAAAGTTATCTTGAATAAACATGAATAACCAGTATTTTATCCAAGATCTTCGACATTCCAACAGGTTTTATTATTATTTATAGTTAATTATAAGATGTATGGAAGGAATTTTCTTAACAACAAGGCCGACCTAACGTGTCAAGACGATGATTAAGACGTGTTCGTTGGTTGCATCGATAAAAGCTTCGATGATTTAAAAACGGTAAAATGTAATGATTTAAACGTCGAATTTTGTAATAGGGATTCCCTTTATTTTCAAAACTCTTTCTTTCTCTTTCTATAGTTGTTGTTTTCCTTTCCTTTTTTTTCAATAAAAATTTCTAGTTAGTAAATTGTTGGAAGAATGAACGACATGTTAAGAAACGAATATAAGCAGCAATTACGATCCAATACGTGACTCGTTACAGTAATTATGGCGTATTATTGCCTGTGACAATAAGAAAAAGCCGACATTTAATACGTTGATTATTTATGCATGGAAAACAATTCAGCAGTAGTTAAAGGAAAACTCTGTTCTATCCTGTCTCATTTACCGTACAATTATCACCGAATAAGGACGTTTAAATGTACAATCGTTGAATTGAAAATAATTCATTAGAGAAAAAGAAAGAGATCCATCTCCGATAAAATATTTTCATTGGTTTTATATGGAAAGTACTTCGATTAGAGACATTTATTATAATAAAAAAGAAAAAAAACATTAAAAAGAACAAGATTACAATCGTTCATACTGCATTAGTCAATTAATATTTAAATAAATTTAATTAAATATACCAACGTTATCAAAGTTTAATAAAAAAGTCTCTTCAATATGAAGGGAATAAAAAATAAGAATAATAAGAGAGAAAAAAAAGAAAGTGAGATTAAGAGGTGGTAAAGAGTGAAAACTCGGTAAAGAAATTATGACAATTGAGTAAGCATCCTTAAACGGGGACCCGATGACATTTAGCGCAGAGTGCGACATAGTGATCCCCACGATGGTAGTACTTTAGTGATGTACGGTGTGTCGTCGTTCTCCCCCTCCCCCTTCATACTCCTCCACCTCCCCCTCCTTCTACTCTTTCATCTTATTCCACCATCTTTGTTAATGTACAAAGTATTGACGACAACTACGACAACAACGAAGACAAAGATGCAACGACACACACTTGTATGGAAAAAAGAGATGCACATAGTCCCGATGTAGATGAATACATGAAAATGTGCAAGATAAAGAAAGAGAGAGAAAGAGAGAGAATGAGGGGGAGAGAGAGAAGGAACGAAGGTGCATAAGCACGCATGCATCAGGCGCCAAGAACGTTTAAACGAAGATCCGTGTGTAACCCCCTTTCTGTGGTGTCCATCTGTTCCTCCTTTTCCTCCCCGCATTGAATTTCTATCTCTCTGTCTCTCTCTCTCTCTCTTTCTCTCTGTTTTTCTCTCTGTTTTTCTCTCTGTTTGTCTCTCTTACACTTTATATGTCCCATGTGCATCTTCTCCTAGTAACATGGTGGTCCATCGTTACCGCGGAAACGGTGGTGTATTGGTGATGCCTCCAGGGGTATATATACACCGAGCGCTGCGGGGCTTGATAAACACTTGCCCATCAGCGATTACTGCTGCAGCATGTATACGTCATTGGTAAGCGTTTATAAGTTACCATGTCGCAAAAAAACCGCTTTTTAAAACGGAAGTTAGAAAAAAAAAGATATATGATATCCGGTGAAAATCGAGACGCGAGATACAATGGGGGGGGGGAATTTAATGAGGGGTGGCCGTGTTATCAAGGATTTACCATCGATACAATACGATACAATCGATGGTGCTTCGCGTTTATTTAGTATTATTACGGTGTCGTGATTTTAAACGTCGTATTTTGTGCCACGCTTTATATCGAACAGTTCTTCTCGAAACAAATAAAGTGATTATTATATTTCTTTGATATTTGGTTTGATACTTACGGTTAGTAGTATACGAGGGTATACTGTACCTGTGACGGTAAGTGGGTTGTCTCTACGATGAGAACTTTTTTCAACCATTCGGATTTTTATCAACTACTTCGAAGGATTTTGAATGGTATAATTTTTCTTTTTAAAGTTTTATTTCGATACAGGTATACTTTTGCAATTTTTTATAATTTTCTTATGTTTTTTTTTTTTTTTTACACGAATTATATATATTTGATAAATAAGTTAGATATTATTTAGAATTTAAATTCGCTTTTCGAGTTATAGTATATAGGAAATACATACATATTGAAACATTGTTCGCGTAAGTACATCTGATGTCAAAACGGGATGGTGGTTAAAGTGGTTACACGCAACGTTTAATTCGTACATAGGCGAAAGGATAGTTAAGCGCGGCGCGTATATGAAATATGGTCTGACCTAATAACTCGCTCGGACTTACTACTACTGCCGCGGCTGACTAGAAACGGTTTAACCACTGAAAGCAGAACTCTCTCTCTCTTTCTCTCTCGCTAGACTTTTGGATAGAGTCCATTATGGCGACACGTTATAGAGATTGTCCCATTTCAATCGAGTATTTTTAACGACGCATAACATTAATTCGTTCTTTTTTTTCTTCTTCATAATATTATTATTTTATCCCTTTAAATTATATTAACTGTAGAATGAATACGATTCAATTATTCCGTCAAGTTTTAACACAACGTCAGGGATAAAATAAACTATAAAAATTATATAACGAATTTGAAAAAAAAAAGTATGAGAAAAAAGGAAAAATGGATGAAACATCGGTTTGATTTGATCTTTTTTTTCGTCAAACAGGTAGCCATTATTACATTGGCAGCATACGCTGCGGCAGCTCCAGCTCCAGCGGATGAGCCAATACCAATAGTCAGCCAAAGTCAAGAGGGTCCGAATCCAGATGGATCGTACAAGTGGAGTTACGAGAGCGGAAATGGTATCAAGGCCGAAGAACAAGGACAAGTTAAGAATGCTGGTTCTGAAAACGAAGCAATGGAAGCTCAAGGTGCATTCAGTTATCCAAGCGACGACGGACAACAAATATCTTTGACTTATACCGCTGATGAAAATGGATTCCAACCAGTTGGTGCTCATCTTCCCGTACCACCGGAAGTTCCAGCTCTTATACAAAAAGCACTCGAATGGATAGCAGCACATCCCTCTAAGGAAGACGAAAACAATCGTGTTTAAAATATTATCATGACAACATACATCAGACAACCATATTACCGGCAGTGTGATCTCACCAAGCTCTTTTGTTTTTTTTTTTATTTTATTATTAAATATTACTTTTGCGATCGAGTTTTTAATTAAAACTAAGATCAGTCCTCTTAGATCAATGATAAGTTTTCAAATCAGTCCACGCGACTGAGCCGCCGTTGTCTCGCCGCACTTATGTTCGCACGTTTCCTCTTTATTATTATTATTATTATTTTTTCTCTTTCTATCTTTCCTTTTTACTTTCTGTAGTTGTCATATTATTATTTTTCTTTTCTTTTTTTTACACTTTTTGTATTAACTTTTCTTAAACTCTTCTTGACGTCCGATTACGAACATGGACTATAACCTCTGGTTCAATTTGCTGTAAATATTTATTTGTATACGTCTATATTATACGATATTATTATTATATACATATATAATATATATATAAATATACGTGCACACAATATATGCATACTTATATATGTATATTATATATGTATATATAAACACACTTATATACATGCATACACACAATACATACGAGATACTTATATTATATAAATATATATTTACTTTATAGCAAACCGATGTAATTAACAGTCGTTAAAGCATATCAAAGTGCGTTTGAGAATAAATGTTGCATCCCAGGAGAAATGTAGTCGGTTTCTTCTCTCTCTTTTTATCTTACGACCTTGATATAATACACCACGACATAGGAAATTATGCGGTTTTCTTTACTCGACAATTAATTTGAATATTATCTAACGATAAGAGAAATCTTAAGACTTTCACGGGAGAGTCGATCTTTTTCTAAATCGATATCTGAATTATGATTCATTCATAATGCCCTCATCCTACGCCATGATCTACTTTCTATACTTTGGGATGATTTAAAAATGCATCGTCTTTTATTACTTTAATTCTCCTTGCATTTTTCAACATACAAAACAGAGTCTAATGCGAGGCAATAAAAAAGGAAAGTTTTATCTAATCAAATGTTAATTAAAAACTCTTGTGGTAAATAATTATTTACGAGTTATTAAAATTAGAAAACAACAACAACAAGAAAAAATAGAAATAACAGCCACACGTCGTTTTAATTTCGTATATTAGAAAGTTTAAAAGGATAGATGGTACGAGAGGATATACACAGAGAAAAATATTGTTTTGTTTTTCAGAATGAACCTTGTAAGATTGTCATTAATCAATCAAACGGACAGATCTTACTATAAGAACTCTCGAAGAAATTACGTCATTTGCAAATTACTCGTGCCATACGGAAAGCGTTTATTTCGCTTTTTTTATTTTTCTCTTTTATCTTTTTCTTCTTCTTCTTCTTCTTCTTCTATCTTCTTCATTCTAGTCAAGGATTTTTAATACGTTGAACGACGAAAGACGATCGTGTAACCTTTCGTCTTACGTGTTGTCTCATTGATCCAACCTATCGCGTGGTATCTCGTCTTCCTAAGCTTTCTAACAATAACACGATGCCCGATGTTTGTACGAGCGAGAGCGTCTACTCAATTTGACATGGCTGATGTCAAATGCGCACGCCTACTCTAAGGGGTTAAGGAACCGGAACTCGAGATCATATCTTTGCTGAACTTTCACCGATGAAATCAACCAACACGATCATCCAACACGTTCGCTATTTTACTTACAAGCAAATATTATTCATTTATTAATTCTTACAAGTTAGATTTATGCAATTTATTGACATTCTACTTTCCACGATGAAACTTATCGGAAAATTATATTTACTAGTGTAGAGATGGAATTTGGAACTATTCAATTTCGATCGATTTCAATTTCCTTCGGTTCTTTCTAATCTTCTGACATAATGTAAGTACCTAATATACGTATGAATATATTTTGTTGTCGATATCAATGAGAGAAACGAAATACATTGGAATTCAGTTCAGTTAAATTAGATGCATGGATATATTTAATAATCGGAATATATATCTTTTTTCATTTCAGGTTTCGAAATAAAAAATACTAATATATCACGTATGAAAATGAAGAAGAAATATTTGGTTGAACAGTAAACATTGTCGTAATCAACAGTTGTAAGGTAAAAAATTCACTGTCGTATTATGCATTAACTAATGCTTATTAATTATTAGTTAGGTGTCTGGGATACGTGTCTTGCATACTTTCGATATTTTGTTCGTTCTTGTAAGTTATTTGGTTCTATATGTGTATACGTGTGTTTAAGTTTTATGAACATATATATAAAAATAAAGTAAACAGGCACAAGTATATTCACTTTCACTGACTTTTTCATTTGAGAAAAACACTTTGTCATTTTAGCATTCATAATGACTTTCCATGACATGATCCAAGTTTTGTTTACACGCGTAAAGATATTTTTTTTACGTATACCATAGATGCATGCTATTGCAAACGAACGAATGACGATGATGACAGCTAACGGTAACCCCAGTTAACTATGCTTCGAAGGTATTTTCTTAATGTGAAGCTTGTGCAACAAACAGGATGTTCAAAAAAAACCATTCAATATTTTTATGGTATATAGGATACATTGTAGTGAATAAAAATGTTTTATTAAACATAAGTCAAAATTCAATCATTTCTGAGATACAGACATTTTTGTTTGCTACAGAAAAATTTTACTTTGAAAGTCATCACTGCGCAGGAGTATAAAAATAATTACATAAAAATGATAAAAATGCCAAAATCAGAACGTTATAATGTTAAATACTCTTTATTAGGAATATTATTACAGTCGCACACATGTGTAACGTTTAGAAAGTAATATAAACAACATTTAATATAATTATTTTGATAGAAGACAACGTGCCAGTCTGAAGGTGAATCTCGAAGAGGACGGTACATAACTCGGTGCTTTTAAGCAACAATAGACATTTCTTTTGATTAATTAATATTTATTTTAATACTCTAATGCACTCTACTTATATTATTATAGAATAGTTATTAAACACGAGTTATATGCAGGGTGTTAAAATAAAAACCATTAAATATTAATAATATTACTAATAAATTGTTTTACAGAAGATTACGATGTTTACAGTAATGTTTACAGTACAGATTTTCCACGTTCCTATCTTTCATTTCTACACATACTTGACATCTTTTTACAAAATTGCTAATTTAAAGAAAAGTCAACTTTTTCGGATTAAATAACGAGCAGAAACAGAAAAGTGAAATGGAAGGGTAGAATAAAAAAGAAAAAAAAAGACAAGAGTACATAGAAAGAGAGAAAGAAAGAGATAGAAAGAAAATGAAATAATCCTATCTTAAAACGGAATTAATGGTAGACGAATTCATTAAAGAGTGAATAATGAAGGTTATGCAGTCTGCTCGACTATTGGAATTCCTTTCTCCTTTGATTCCGCTATTTAATATTGCCCATTAAATCTCTGTCGGTCGTAAATCTTTGACCGGGATAGCAACGAAGATTGGTGCGAAAGTCTCTCTCTCTCTCTCTTTCTCCCATTAATTAATACGTCCCTAGCTTTCTTTGAGATTAAAATAATCGGTCAAAAGAGAGGTGGAAGGGTAGTGATGGTGGTGATTCAAGAAGGGGCTTGGTTATAGGGTTGATACCAAAAAGAAATAAAAATGAGAATCTTTCGGAGTACTGTGTGTTTTTCTTTATATTATTTTTTTAAGAGTTTGATGCAATTTTTCACAATAATAATAACAATAATATAGAAAAAAGTTTAAAGTTTATTTTTGCTATCCTCTTTGTAGGGGTTAGCAGCTATCCAATCGAGAGCACGTTGAATGGCAGCAGGAATTGGTTGAGGTGGCGGTGGGGTTGGTAAATGAGAACCTTCGAAAATGGCACCATTTTCGTTAGCAAGCCAACCAAGATTGATCTTCGTACCATCGGGAGCAGTCCAAGCAGCCGATCCCTGAACTTCCTCGGCTTCGTCCTTCTGACCGGCATTCTTCAAATTACCCTGTTCCTCAACGGTTATACCATTAGCGGTTTCCCATCTTGCATGGAAACTACCATCAGGGTTGATCTCTTGAGATTGACTGACAATGGCTATTGGTTCGTTTGGATTGGCTGCCATTGTCATTGTCATTGCTAGCATACTCAATAGGACGATTTTGATTGCCATTTTGTTAGCTAAAATTAAAAAGTTAATTAATTTACTTCTGTTTTTTTTTTTTTTTTTATTAGAAGAAGTTATTCATAATTACATAAACGATAGTAAATTATTGACAATTTTATCTGATGACAAAATAAATTTTAACGATAATTATTATTTATGATTGGATAAATTAATGGTTATATTTGTATAATTAGAAAATAATTAAAATTGTTTTTTGATTTAATGCGATTTGAGAATTGTCGAAGTTGATGTATCGAGATATGAATTATTGGTGAAACTTAAATGAAGAGATACCTTTTTTGTATACGACTTCACTTGAATTTCGCTTGGACACCATAGGTTGGATGTTACTGACGATGATTTAACCGCAGAGCCCACCTTTTATATATACATAGAACCTACCCGTGCCGACATATTGCGCCAAATGTCATTCGATGATACCGGTTCATGTTTTGCTTGACCAGTATTGAATACATCTTTCTAATCGATGAAATTTTCTCTTTTATTTAAAGAAGAATCCTTCATATCACGGTTCATTCGTTTACGACCATAATATACAATTAAACTTTCAATAATACGTTAATTTATTAATAATCATTTATTTATATTTACATTAGACCAACAATAATTGCA